TGTTAATAATGTTCCATATTAAATAAAAAACGGTTTATGAGATTTTCAAATTTTTGCATTCTGTTTGAACGAACATTTTACACAAAATCTCTCAACATTTTCAGAATTCAGATTGTTAAAAACAGAACCACAACACGCAGTTGTGGTCACAGCTAACCATAAAGTTAGGCTTCAAAAATTCATAATCCGCYACTGAAAATATTACAGAGCCTGCAAGGAAACAAGGAGGGTTCCCTYGCAAAATCATTTACTACTGATGTGCTTGCCTGTTTATTTCACATCCTCCCCATTACACCGGTGTTAGCCTACTACTTTAATTCAGTTTTGGAATGAACATATCACAGCCACGCATGAAATTATATGTAATACGCAGATATTTTAACTCTATGTAGCCACGCAATACCACTGTCATTTTCCCCACCGGTTTTGGTAATCGGATATTTCAAAATCAAAGTCGCATTCAACACAGTTACTAAAAAAGATGAAACTTTTGCGTGGGAACACAAAAGAAAAAAAAAATCCTCCCGTGTTCACTTGCAGGCTCTGTAAATTATTGTCTTTTTTTATTGAAGCAATAGATAAAAATTAGCAGAAGCTAACATTAACAGCTAATTGCTAAGAGGACTGTCAGTCAGTCAGGAACTGACATAAACTTATTAATGTTAGCGTGTTGTTAGTTACTGTAGCTGTCAGCGCACTTAAAGTTGGCAATTGGTAATTTAGTGGAAGCTAATTGGTGTGCTAACAGTTTTCAATATTAGTAATTATCTGTTAAATGGAAAAAAAAAGTTTGGCTAGCTGATTAGCAGAACCATGTCCACCGCTGACAAGATGGACATGACTCATGGTTAAATTTCTTTAAAAATAAAAAACCTTCATCACCCACCACTTTAATCCTTATAGGTGACAAGTCCTGCTTTGCTTTGGGAGTTTCTTCCTGCAGACAGGTCTCCTGTCAAAAAAGAAAAGAGGAATGTTTAACATTTTTAGAATGTAAATACTGTCTCTCATATTCCCCTCAGCTCCACCCCCATCAGTTTGGTCAATCCATGGTTTGTTCTTTGTCTGTTCCTCTTCAAAAYAAAACAAGAAAAGACAAATAATCCAGTGAATCTGTGTTCTTTTTGGTAAATTCCTTTTAAAAAGAGATATTGTAAAAGGAAAACTGGACAGTTGTTCATTTTTTAAATTTTTATATTCCAAAAACAAAAAAAGTGGTCCGTTTTTAAATTTTTTTTCTCAAACTGGATGTTTAAAGACCCCCACATCGGGCGTACTTCGCTCTGCGGACTTGAGGCAGACTCATTGTGAACTCGAAGCGTCCGTCCGCTGGACTGGTCCATGCAGAGATCAATTTTTTCACTGCGGTGTCGCACAATAAACTTCCTGGCGGATACTGTTTTGGATGTGACACCAAGCTGATAAAGTTGAGAATCTGTGTCATTTGTGGACGAAATGAAGTCAAATTTTGAAGAGCGTCTCACTGAGATTAGAAAACTTTATGCTGCGTCAATGAAGGAATATAAGGACTTTCAGTGAGCAACAAATTCATGGGAGGAAATAGCTCAGATCTTGGGAAAGGTTCTTTTTTTTCTTTTGTTGTTTTAAAGTTAAACTGTCAGGCGGTCAGTACGCTCGAGTATGAAGTGTCTCATACCATTATTCAAGCCCCCCTCCCAACGAGACGGCCCGCCCCTCCAAGAATTTCACGGCATATAGTCATTTTTATTTAAATAAGGCCAGATCAAGTCAAGAGATATTTTTTGCGCCCCTCCATATCCACCTCCCGCCAAACTTGGGGAAAAAGACGGCGCAGAGCGAGGCTGAGCAATGTGTGTGGTCCTCACAAAGATAGAAAGACGTGTATGTGTGTGTGATTAGACGCACGATGAAAACTCTGTTTTTTTAACCACGTAGCACCGATGCGACAGCTTTGCAAGCTACTTATTTTTTCTTTAAAATAAAATGCGACAGGTGAAGCCACAGCATGGTTACCTTATCAGTAATTTAGAATCACCAACACAGACCAGGCATGCGACCAGGTTCCCACGAGTCCGTTCATCTTCTATAAATAGTGCTGATCAGCAGCACAGCTGTAATGTCCCTCAACTTTGAAAAAAGTAACCAGAGTAGTTTGTAAACTCAAATCCAGACAGAATCAGCTGCTGTACATCGAGCTGAGCTCCTCTCCTCTGTCACACACACACACACACACACACACACACACACACACACACACACACACA